ACCCGATGATGAGTGGCCGCCGTATCTAATAGTACATACTATACCTAAATATTTCTAGCGGATTATATTTGACGATTTTGGCTGTTCTTTTCTTGGCATATTTTGGATTGCATTTGCTTTGTTTCGGTTTAGTAGTTTTGGTTATAGACTCTGCTTTGTATTTGGCATTTGTTTTGTTTTCGTTTGGTTTAAGTATAGGTTTTGTCGGTTAGACTTTTTTAAAATGGCTAAAGAAAATCTGAACGTTAATGGAGAAGTTGAAGAATGTTCTCTCATGGACAGTTTTATGTTGCTTGCTCACGAGTAAGTTCACCCAATAGCTTGATACTTTTAGCGCCTAATGACAGATTAGTTAAGAATATTGTGTACAAAGAAGTTTTGTAGGCCCTAATTTTTTACACACGCTAAACAAAAGTAAAGCCGCAAAAACTATACCTAATTAATAATAATACTTCTTAATGCGAGCGAAGCCGCGGGCAAAAGCTAGTTATTATTATAGCTGTTATTTTGACCAATGTCATAGGGCAGTTGCTGTAGCTTTAAATTCAAGTTATTTTGTTGGTGGACATCCACTGCATGAAGTCACTGAAGACTTAACTGGTTGTATCCAAACTTCCCACCAATCACTTGCAGCAATCTGAATGCAGCCTGTCAAAATTATTTATACTATTCCTTAACTTAATAAAAAATTCAATAGCAAATTTTGTAATACCTCTTCCTTTGCATTTTCTCTTAATAATTGACTTCTTCTTCTTATATATAATGTTCCTAGTAATAAAATAAAATTTTTAAAATAAACTTTCAAATCTAAACAGTATAAATATTAGTTAAACAGCAATAAAAAATTTATTAATTATCTGATCAAGAAATACTTTTTCCTTAAACAGTTATTTCAAAAATTTATAATATTAATATACAGAAACAACCCATAAATAAATAGACAACTTGAATGCCAGCAAATGCATGAAGCACTATTAATTCCAAAATACATTGCCACATTGGAGAAGAATCTCATTTCAATATTATCTGGTGGACTAAATATCCACTCTGTTCATGATGGAGGTCCTTGTCACGTTGCCAAAAAGACACAGAATTGCCTTACAACATAAGGCATCTGCAAGCTTCTACAGACCAATCAATCACCTGACTTGAATCGGGTCAAACACCTCTGGAATCTGCTGGACTGTGTTGTGCGATGATGTTCACAAAAAGCCGTTCCCATGGAGGACTTTTATATTGTTTGCATGTCAAGTGGGACAACATTCCACAGGCCAAGAGAGCAGAACTCTGATTCCATGTTTAACCAAGTTAAAGCTTTGTGATTTTCATACATATATGTGTCATTTGTAACAAGTGAATACTGTGAAATAAAAGACAGTGTCTGAAAATAAGGCATTTATTTACTTATGGGTTGCCTCTGTAAATACATTTTAAACATAACAGATAAACATCTCTTCAAAAGTTAATTTTTCTTTTATAAGAAAATCTGGCTTTCTTTCACAATCTTCTCCTGCAATATTGAAATATGTTGCATTCTTTATAATGTACTTTCCACATATCTGTGGCCTTTGTTCTTGAAAGAACAAAAGCCAATGTCAGAAATCATAGTTCTCTAAAACATTACATCAAAAAATTTCAAAAAACTAACAAATTTTACTGTAAATTCTCTGAATGTTTAACTGTTCAACTTTACACTTAATGTAGAAATCAAAACAAGTTATTTAATAGACATGCCAGATTTCTAATAGCAGTTACCATTTAGAATTTTTATTATGATATTGGCCTTTTTATATAATTGAATCAGAAATTTGATTATTTGCCTTAAAATTACTATCCCAGACATTTATTTCAGTTTTATTTAGTGACTTGCAAAAGGTTGCATACCTTTTGCAATATAAATTATTGGTTCTCAACCTTTGAAATCACAGAACACCATTCGTGTACTTTTTATTACCAATATATTATCACCAATATATTCAAAAATCGATAAGCAATTCCATAGCACTATCCTCACAAAATAAAAAAAAAGCAATAGACTAATATTGTACAGTAATACCTCGACTTATGCTACCCCAACTTACGCGAACCCGGAGTTACGCAATTTTCAAATTTCGTCGATTCGTCTTTTGTTTGAGCGCCAAGCAACTCTCAATTACTCAATCCCTCCACACTATTGTTCGGCTTACATGTTCGGATGTGTTGTGCGGAATCGACACATAGCCACAATTTATTTTGTTATTTATTTCTGTGTTTGTTATATCTACGGAGACTTGAGAGATTCTATTTGGTGATTTCTTCTAACCGTGAACGAATCAAAAGACGAGATAAGATTAACGAGAACATTTATTAGCTTACATACATCCGACTTGGGTTTTACACAAATTGCGAAATTATACCCCGACTTACGCGGTTATCGCTTGGTCCCACCTATCGCGTAAGTTCGGGGTATCACTGTATTGTATTTAATGAGATTATCTATCCATTTCTGTTTACCTTCTTTTATTTGAGACTATTATTAAATATTGTATATATTTCTGGTTAAGTGTACATATACATATTCCTGTTATATACTGCTATATGTTACTTTATTCTATTTTATTATATTTGTCTTAACCACTTAAGTAAAATTTTTTATTCATTTATGATGTTAAATTCTTTGAACCGGTTAAGGTATATAAGAAATATACTTTTAAGATAATGATGTTGAAAGAATGTTGGCAATGTTTCAAATTTTATATTCTATTTAACTGTTCAATTTCTGAATGTTAAAACCTGAAGCAGGCCACTTAATGTAGCCAAAAACATTAATTTCATTAAGTTTTATTAAACTGTATCTGCTAGAAATGGTGTGGAAAATTTGACTTAATAAATGTTTATGGTATTGAATAAAATAGTAAACATGGAATTATCTACAAATAAAATAGTTAATATGTTGTAGTATATTGGAATAAATCTGTAATATAACTTTTAAAAATTACCCCTTGGAACACTCAGGACAAGGAACACCTGTGTGCTACAAAACATGTGTACAGAACATAATCTAAATCCTTGTTATCTTCCTATAATAATATTAATGTAAAAAGTTTTCATAAATTTCCTGCATAACTTGGTTTTGGCTGTTTAAACAATAAAGTAATAAAATTAAATTGCCATAGTTTTGCAAATTGGATAGATATATAACAATTTTATTATAACAAAAGTAATATTAAAATTATATGCAATTTATTTTTCTATGATTCAAAATTGATGATGCTATTGTTGAACAGAATATTAAACAAAAAATTAAGTACTTGCTAGATTGCGTCAAAAGAAATTCAAAAGGATTTGTCTTCTCTACATCCAAAAGCCTTAAAATTTTTATAAAATAATCTATTAAGTTCATTAATATATGACAACAGATCCTGTAGATTCCTCACTTTTTTATTTGGTAGCAATTGTAGCTTGAGACTATTTGATTCAATTGACATCTTTAATCAAATCGAAAGGTGAATTGACAAACATCTTTGAACATGCTTCTTCTTAGGCCACTCTGCTACAACTTCTCTTTCCATCAAAGCTGTACTTACAGAAAACTTAGAACAAGTCATGCTATGTAAACTTCATTATTTTTAGTCAATTCACATTTACATACAGTTAATTTTGTTTTTTGTGAATGCAAGGGCTTTGCTCAAAATTCAAGAAATCTTATTTCATTTCTGTTATTTGTAGTAGTGGATTGCACTGAACCACTCTGATGAAGTTGCATTAGTTATGTTGTAATTTGATTTCTGCTGTTATCTTTTTGCCCTTTCTGTAGATGCATGAATTGTATCTGCTTCCATGTGTTATGAGGGAGAACCTGATTTTGTTTTGTTCTTAATTACTGTACTTATTTTTGCTTGTTGAAAGTATGTGTCTTTATGTATTCAAGATCAATCAGTTTTAAATAATGGAATGCCAAGTTGCAATCCATTCTTGTTCCATTTGTTCCAAGTTCCACTGTTGAATATCTTTCTGTATTGACGCTAAGGTCTTATATTTGATCCCTTATCCTATGGCCAATGGCTGAGAAGTTAAGGTGGTAGCCTATCACTCTGGGGGACCAGGGATCAAACCGAAACAGGTTGAAAAACTCCAGAGAATTTTCAGTAAATAGTCTGTCCAAATATATCAGGCCCCATCTCCTCATCACCTGGCTGCTCCATTGTGGGCTGGCTGAATCCATATGAGCTTATAAAAATGGCTCTCTTAGTGCCCACAAGGCAGAGAGACTTAAAAAATTCCTTTATTAATTTTATTATTTTCTTAATTAATACATTTTACACTTCTGATAGTAAAGCTTGTACATGGATATAAGATGGTTTTAAAAGTTTTGACACTACAATAATACACTAGGGCTAGAGCCCGATTAGAATTTCTGATGAAATGTGAAAAGCAATCTATTACCCATGTCCTTTTTTCACATTTGCCTTCCACTGGGTAGGGAACCTCTACTTAAAAAGGTGAAACTAATGTGCCTCAACAGGGCCATTCAGTCATCCAGAAAGCAAGTTTTTTCTAAACTGGCAGAACTCATTGAGATTGAGAACATGTTCCTACTAGATCCAGAAATGTTGACGCAGGAGAATGCCAGACTGGTTGCTATCCAAGATCGACAAAGGAGACGTTACCACAGGAAACTACAGTAAATTGCGATTTCAAGTGCCCAAGAGTTATGAACACCTAACATTCCTGTTCGTCATTTGGGACGACCTACAGCAATCTAAGTACATCGTGAAGGTACTGAAGTATGGACTGATGTTTGCACCTCCACCTCCTAAGATTGGAACTAGGAACCTCATCCTCAATTTGGAGACCCTCATACATACTTTTTGTGTTGGGTAGGCCCTGCCTGACACACAAAAAGAATATTATAGATAGATGGCAATGCTTAAAATTAAAAAACTAAAGAACCTGCCGAAGTGGCGGAACTAGGAAGTAAACTACGGTGCACTAGCAGATGGACGCAACAGAATGGGATCACTCTGCTCAGAGGTGATAAATATAAATCTCTGGTCATTGTGAAATGGGTTACATAAAAGCAACGATTAATGGAGTACATTAATCTAATCCAATGTGAAAGGGTGGACAAAGATCGTTGACAAACTACAATCTAGGGGCAAGCGATTTGCCTATTCCAAATTAGTTAATTGCCTGGTGTTGAGTAACTTAATTGTTGACTCCCCAGATACTCCTAGGCTCTTTGCATTTGCTAAGACCCATAAATAGGGACAGCAGCTCTGTTGCTTACAAACTCATGCTCACCTTGTAGATCTCCTGTATCGTTAGCATGGAAACGCTATCTGAACTCATAATATACGTCATACATGATACATCACAGCTGTTTTCGTTCTTTTAAAAAAATTTAAAAGGCAGCGAAGTTCTATTTATAGAACAGTTTTTCCAGTTGATAGTTCCCGAGGAAGGCTGATAAATTTAGTGGCCGAAAACGTTTGATATGTGTTTTCGACTTTTATTTGCTGGAAATTTTGAATTTAGGTGTGATTTGCGAAAATTCCAGTAGCACAATTTTAATGAAAAGTCATGTATTTTTTGGGAGGACGAAAGAGAGCAATAATCTCATGGTTCTACACATTACTTTTGTATTGTAAAATAAATAAAATAAATTATAATCACACTTATCTTTAATTAACTTTTTTTCCCCCCAAAGACAAATATTTGCCCTATTTTAAATTCAAAAACTTCTGTTTTTGTCCTAAATCTTTATATAGAGCATTCTATATATATCT